TCGACTTCGCATTCGAGAAGACGGTCTTGAAGCCTGGGACGTGCTAACCTGCAGAGCGCAGAGACGCTGACGCTAGAACTGGTTTGACGGAAGCCGTCAGGCAGCGATATCGATCGTGCTTCGCGAGCGCCGCCTCGAGGAGCCCAAGATCGCCGTCGCCGTGCTCGTGCCGGGATCCGAGGGCCGGCGTCCGGTATCTCAAGTGAGATGCGGACGAGTAGGAGGGGTAGTTGTACTTGAGCCGCAAGTTGAGCGGGCCCAGGCGGGGTAGCGGGTACGAGACCAGGGCGAGGGTCGGGTAGCCCGCGAGCGATGACCATCCTGTAGATGGGCAATAGATGCCGACAGGCAGTCGCCATTATCGATAGACGCCGGATCAAGTCGAGAGATGGGGCAAAGGCAGAGACGAGTCAAATTCGGGATGTGGTTGGTCAGACGCCGATCTATTGGTTGTGGCATTAGGGGTAATAGTAATGTTCGTGAGCGGGCGCGTGGTTTGCTTTCGTGAGATCAAACACCATCATTCGTGAGATTGATGGCAGCTTTTAGCCGACCGTTAGTTTTCGTGAGATCACGGAGCGTCACGGTGACACGATCAACGTGACGACGTCCCATCCCTCCTCTTTCCGCAACCACCACCATATCCCCCCCCTTCCCCTTCCCCGACATCGCCCTCGGATACTGAACCCACCAGCCCGATGGACCGCGCTGCACGACGGATGGCGAGAACAAGGAGGAGGCGGGGTGCCCGGTGAGTTGTATCTACCCGCATCCACCTCGAGCGCGATAGGCTAGCACGCTCGAGCGGATGTCCGGGCGCGCCTCCGGACGTCCGCGCCTCTCAACGGCGACAGACTCGTGTACCGACCGAGACCGGACTATGGCGTCAAGCTCGGCCAGCGGCTTACAATCTCGGGCTTGGCAGGTGGTGGCGTGGGGACAGCGAGGCGAGGGGAGTCGCGCTGGACATGGACCGGCGCGCTGTCGATGAGGTGAACTGCTGGCATCAGGCCGGAAGTGGCCTGTGAGTAGATTCGGCCTGGTGTCGGCCTGGTGTCCAGGTCAAGCGTTGCGCTCCTTACGGCTGGCGGAGCGGCCCGTCCGGTCCAGGGGCGCCATGTGTGCTGCGAGCGCGGCGCTGTGTGCGCCGGTCTTGGGCGGCGCCGATCCTATGCAAGACTCGATCGCACTGGACGGTCCGGGGCCGGTGGCTGCGGCCGACGGTGCCTGAGCTGGCGGCCGTGAGCTGGCGGCCGAGGGGCCGGCGAGTGGCCGTGGGTACACTCGGCCTGATGCCCAGGGCTTGCTCAAAGGCCGCATCGCAAACGAAGGCGGGGGACACGCGCTGTGAGACCGTTGGGATTGTGGGAAACAGGCGGAGGGCCGGCTGAGCAGCAAGAGTCAGTAAGTATGACTTGTAGAATTGTGCGTAGAACATAGATCACCAATATACACTCAGTTTTACGCCCTTATGCGCTGAAAATAAGAAATTTCGAACTCAGGTGATGGGATCAAAGTCAGCGACAAATGCGCTGAGCTCCCCTCCCCCACAAACCATCTCTCCATCGCTCTTGGCACCAAACAGGTAACACATGGCACTTTGATCGCCTGTTGACAGCTCAAGAAGGCTGACCGCGCGCCCGCTCACGAACATTGCCAGGGCCCGGCATTAGCAAAGAGCAGAGGGGAAATCAGACCTCGAGGGGAAATGCGCCGATCGAGGGTGGGGCGGGAGAAGCCGGGACTAATAGAAGGAAATGCGTCCGGCGTCGTCCGAGGTAGGGCCGCGAGGCCCAGGGCCGGTTGGAAGACGCCGCGATAGTGGGCGATTGCTGCAGTCGCGAGCTGTGAATCCCAACGCATGGCACATCCCGAGCGGTCGTTCATATGTCACTGGTACTTGACTACCTCGCGGAGCACAGTAGATGCCGGGGCGGGCGAAGCCTGCGACTGCTCCAGAGCTCGCATAGTGGCGTGGCCGAATGGCGTGCGCCCGCCAAACGCCGGCGTGCACGCCACTGATGGTGGTGGCGTGGCGTGCGATGGCGTGGGACACTCCCGAAGGGTTCTCTCTGTTGTTCGTCGCCGTTCACGGTGTTCCTCGGTGCGTCCCACTGGCTGTAGGGATTTCCTATATAGCTGCTTACTACGATTCCGGTGTCATCGACCGGTGTGCTCCGGCCTTCCCGGCATCCACCGGCGAGGCCACCATATGCTTCACCGTATGCACTGTGAAGGCATAGGGCGTCTCAGAAGCCATTCTGAGACATCTTGTGTCATACACAGAAGTCGAGGTATACAATACGCGCGAGACTCACAAGTACTCACGCTCTGGGTCCGACGCGCCGGCCGGCGCCCCCGGAGCGCCGGGCAGTGGCGAATACCAGTCTCGTTGCGTGCTGAGGTGAAATGCGCGTGGGCTATGTGCAGAGTTACCCCCCGTATTGTGCAATATCGGGGGAGGCCGGCCCAGTTGGACTCGGCGCGGCGCACCAGTACCGCCGGCCGGGCCCGCGGAACTCCTCCGGAGTTTATTTGGTGCCAGTGGTGCTCCGTTGCTCCAGCGCGCGTCGTCGGGCAGGTCATCGTACCTATGACAGCCATAACCGGGGACCCTCCACCTCTGAGTGGCGCCGGCCGGCCGCATTGGAGCCTGTCGACCGGACTCCGGGCGAGTTGCACACAAGCTGGTGTGCAGGGGTCGCTGTGCTCGTCGTCCTGACCGACGCGACTGTCGATCTTAGTCCAGGCGTCGAAACCCCTGACATGGCTGCTAGCTAGCAGCAAGCCAGCGGTGAGTCGCCGGTGACCTGAAAGCCGCGATGGGATGTTAGATGACACTTATTTACAGTATTTGGGGCTTCCTTGACGCTTATACGTTGAGTTATACCTCAAAGCAACCCAAAAGCCATACAAGCCAACGCCAAAATGTCTGGCGTGCCAAGCCGACAGAATGGCGTTGACGCCTGATGGGCGGGCGTTGGCTTTGATCGCCAGCCAAACGCCACTCCCACGCCACGCCACGCCACTTGGCGCTGGTGCACGCCATTCAGCCACGCCAAAACGATAGCTCTCCGACTGCTCAGTGCTGGGCCAGTGGCCATGGCATGGGAGGCGGGGGCCGACACGGGGCAACGAAGACGTGGGTCGATGTCGATCGCGCTGCTCCTCAGATGCGAGGAGCCCGGGCAGGGGCGTATGGATGAGGCGGCCGGGGACAGCTGCGTGCCGCGCGTCGCTGTCCGGGGACGTTGTCCGCCCAATCTGCGTGTCGCAGAGGGGAGACGGGGGCTATCACCGTGAGGGCCCGACAGACATGTCCTGTCATAGGACCCCCGAAAATACGGTGTTAACTTCAAGGGGGTGTCACGTGTCAAAAAGTGACAACCGGGATGGTCGGTCGGTCCCCCCTCCGGACCCTTAAAAAATTTTTTTGGGAGAAGCTTTTTGGCTGAAATGGTAAGTCAAAATTGTCTTAGGATGGGTTACAAGTACTGTTTGGTGCACTATACATCTATAATAAAGTATCAACAATCTCACAAGTGGTTATTTTTCAGTATCTCATCATCAGATGGAACATTGTGGCAAATCAGAACATATGGGGATGGATATCTGTACTCTGGAGTGAGATTTGTAAGACAATGACTATATCAGGACTTTGTCTACAAGATATATATATAGCTGGAAGTCTATGTTTCTATCAATGTTCTTGGAAATTCAGAGGACTGACTGAGTTTGATGCTATCAGATCACATGACTGTGTGAATTACCTTCCTAATATGGTAATGTCACGTCACAGTCACGGTCGGTGGGTCCCCTGGAAGGGCTTAAACAAAAAGTCCAACGTATGTTCCGTTATTTTTTTTCTGATACCCCCTTGGTTAACTTGGGTACAGATTCGGACACAATTGGGTCCAAAAGTGCCGATCACTTTGGCACCTCGTGCGGACAAATTTGGTCAAGAGTCGGTCGCAGTTTGTGACCAAGTCCGGACAAATTTGCCGGCCGCCAGAGCGGCGAAGCGGTGACGGACACCCGAACGTAGTCCCTCCGACCGGGTCTGCCATCAAACAGCAGCGCGTGCTTGCATGTCTGCGGAGTGGCCAGCAAACATCACGGAGGCTGCCCAACACATTGCTGGGTGCTTTTGGGCTGCCGGGGTTGTTGTCGCGCTGTTTGCCAACACATATCGGGCACCGGCTACGGCTGGCCCGGTATCCCAGTTTGGGTCCTGTCAATGGGCAAGTTTGACAGCCGCCCAGCCCGGTTGCTCCGAGGGTCGCCCCCTGAGTCCCTCGTGGCCCCCTAGCCTAGTGGTTTTCGCGCTCGCTGCATCCTGCGACGATCTCTTGATCGATTTTCGCTGTTTCATGCGTTTCCGCCTGAATTCACGCGACGTTGATCCCATCAGCGATTTGATGCCGCCAGGAACTTTCATACATGTTCGGACAAATTTTGCCCAAATTTGGCCTCTTGTTCGGACAAAATTGGCCTTCGGAGGTATCAAAGTCCCAACCGTATTTTCGGGGGTCCTCCTGTCATTCGAGACGCCAGTGCCAACTGCAGCCGCGGCGTGAGTCAGGGGCAGACATAGACGTGGTGCCAAGTATGGGAAGGCGAAGTGCGAGAACGAGAACGAGAAGCTGGGAAGGTCCGTGTGGGGTGGGGGATTGAGCGGGAACAGAGAACAGAGAACAGAGCCCGTCTTGCTGGACAGAGAAAGCTGAACGTGGCAGCCAGCTGGAGAACGCGTCACTCGTCAGTCAGGCCCTCCCCGTCCAGGCATATCAGCCATATCACGCACCAGTCGCAGCCTGACGCGGCCGCGGGGCCTTTTCGCGGGACGACATGACGAACAGAAGCAAGGGACGCGCGTGGGAGCCGTCACATCAGCGCGTCACGTTCCCAGGCCCCGACACAGGTGGTGATCCCGGGCCTCGCCAGTGCCTCGCCGCGGAATTAACTTGGAATTAACCGTCCCCGGCTGGCCGCCATGTGCTATGGCGCAGAAACGCGCGCGGCGCCTCGGGCAGACGGACGGGCTATCGCAGGTCTTCATTGCGACGCGTGAAGCTGAAGCACACTCTCGATCTCGATCGCCGTCGCCATCGGCGCGGCCGGTCCGCCATCACCGCGTCATGCACCGCCACCTGCCACGTGGCGTCACATCGTCCCACGCCACTCCTCTTTTCCTCCTGCTTCCACCGGCAATGACAACGACGCCAACCGCGACTCCGCTGGCGGCGGCGGGCAGCAAGGCGCTCAGCACCAGCACGCTCAGCCTCAAGTTCATGCAGAACGCGGCGGCCCGCAAGGGGGCGACAGCGACAGGCACGCTGACGAAGGCGGAGGTGCAGGACGAGGTCGACGGCGCGTGGGCGGTCCCGGGGGCGGATGCGCGGCGGGCGATGGCGGAGAGCGAGGGGAGGGAAGGAGTGGTGAGCTACGAGGCATCGTATATGCCGTTCCTGTTTGGCACGGAGACGAAGGGAAGGCGGGCGTTCCGGAAGGGGCGCGAGGTCGACGAGGTGCGTGGCTGTGGCTCTTTCTGGGGCTCTTACTGACGCTCTAGGGTAGCTTGGAGCGATAGCGACTGAGAAAGCGGCCCCAGCGCAAGAGCTACCGCCAGTCAAGGCAGCCGGCAAGGTACGCGCGATATCCTCGCAGAGCGGGCTACCCGAGAAGAATAAGAAGGCAAAGAAGGAAGGCGGCTCTGCGCGCGACGCCATCTTCGCTGCCCCCGTCACCGGGCTCCCGAGTGCGACGCCCGACCCACCTACCCAGCGGCAGAAGACGAAAAAAGACAAAGACAGGCCGCCCACGTTCCTCCGTCCCGCGGGCGTCGATGCTCCGCCCAGCCAGCCGTCCACTTCGAAAGCCACGATGGCCAGGCCCGTGGTCGCCGAAGAACGGAACAGTTCGGTGGAGGAGATCGCGCCGCCGGAGGAGACGGCGACGAAGTCGAAAAAGAGCAAACGGGGGCGGGAGGAACCGGCAGACGGGTCGTCGCCAGCTCAAAAACCCACGAAGAAGCCCAAGACGAGCAAGAACGCTGACGAGGAGGTCGCGCCGCCCAGTAAATCGACACAGAAGGTGGCCGAGCGAGACCAGGATGTCGCAGCCCTTCCAAAAGCGAGCAAGTCGAAGTCTCAACGAGCCAAGGCGGGAGACCAAGCGGGAGAGGAGGACAGTTCTACCGAGGAGGTCGCGCCGCCGCCGCTGAAGTCCAGGAAAGCAAAGCGCGCGCGCGAGGAGACGGAGGCCGAGGCAGACGCGGAGGGGGACGCGGCTCCGAAGGCGAAGAAGCCGAAAAAGAAGAAGAAAAAGGCGAAAGAGGGGACGGAGGAGGATGCTTGGTGCGTGGTTTTTGCTCTTTCTCGTTCCGTGGTATGCTGACGCTTTTCGTTAGAAGGACTGTAGTCGGTAGCTGCTTGGCATATCCAATATCATTTTCCGCGTTCTTGCTTGCCGTCCGTCGCCTGCTCATCAAATGAACCCTTCTCTTTCCGTTTCCCTGCTTCGCTCGTTCAGGTTCTAGTTGTGCTTTCGTTCCGGATACAAGACTGGTCTGCCTCACACAACGGTTCATCTCGTCCCTTTCATGCCCGCCTTTGACACTCTTGCAAATGAAGGCTCGTGCGTGCGTTTGGAGGGAGAATACCTCCCCGCATAGCCCTTCCCCCGCTCTACCGCCCTCGGAGGAAGGCCACGGATGAATACGGTTGAGACGTCTGACCTCGTTTCAGACATGGACCGCGTCTTCCCAGACCCACCGGTTGGTCCTTTAAACTGCGCTCCAGGGATTAACTGCCGCGTAATATCGGTGCGCCGCTGTGTCCCTGTCTCTTCCTCGTTGGCTGGATGGCAGGGGGCGCATACCTAGGATTGAACTTCACCATCGCCGCGTTTGTGCTCGATTTATGGCTTGATTAATGTGCGTATTTCCGTATGGCTTCCCGTCTTTGTCTAAGCTGAAGATTTGCCAGAATCAAGCATCACATACGAAATACTGACCAGGACGCCGAGGCATTAGGTGTGTACCTTCTGTTGCGTCGGACGGATATTCCTGTTTGACATTCTTCACAGTCTTTTGAAGGCGGTGGGTGGGCAAGCATTCTCCTCGCCATCCATCGCATTGTTGTTGGCTCTCGTTGTCCGCCATCAGTAAGCACCATCGTCGCTCGGACCTGTCCGTACCGGATCCCGTTCGCTCTCGTGCCGCCGCTGACGAGTTGTCAGATAGGCAGTCGTGCGTGCGTTAGAATGCACAGGCATTTCTCGCTTGACATCATAGGTCCGAGTCGTAGGCGAAGCGCGATTGGCTTGTTCGCACAAGGCTGACTGATCAGCGAATTTTCCCATTCTTACATGGCCGTCGTTGACTTGATTTCAGAATGAGTGACGATTTTGTGCCTAAGTTATAGTCTTATAGATGGCTTGACGAGGAGTGGATCTCCGTATGACTGCTCGTGTTCGTGGCTAACTTGTCAGCTAGGGCTGCAGAGTTACGGGAAGCGGCGACAAAGAAGGAGGACCGAGGAGAATTCGGTCCGTGTATCTGATCACATATATTCTCGGTTGACACTCTTCGCAGTTTTTTGCTAATGCTGCGGTTTTGTCTTGAGGCAGACTGGTCCGTATGGATTTGAATACCCTTTGGCTATTGAGTTGCTACGCATGTCAAATGGTCTGAAAGGTGTGTCGTTTCCCTTCGCTATGGCAATGCCTTCAATTCCCCGTATAGGTGCGAGCGCAGGGGTTGCTTGGCGGATGTGCGGTAGCAAAGAGCTGCGTTCTTACCAGTCTTACACCGCTCGCTGGACGAAATGACGCATAGCCGGCAAAACAGTTGGCCAGTAATGCGGGACATTAAGTGACATCTCAGGTGCGTGAACCTACTATCGTTCGTGGATTTGCTGATCGAACCCCACTGTCGGCCAGGCTGGCGATGACGTGTCGTCAATGACTGATTACTCGAACGCCGCGGCGGATTCCGACTTCTCGTTCTCCAAGCGAAAAATCGATCATGTCTGTTTGACGGCCACGCTGCGCCTTCACAATCATTCCAGCCAGTCTGCGGGGTAACGTCCCTGGTTCATTGGTCTCGCGTTGACAGAACTTGTCCAACAACAGATTGCGGTTTGCACGGACGTTTGTTGGACAGGCATGCCGGTATACTTGTGCTTGATCTCGCGGTCGACGTTGACCTCATTGTAGCCTGTATTCTGACTGAAAGAACTTGTCGAACACGCACTTGCGATTGACTTGGGGCTGTCTGGTATCTGTCGGGGCGGGTGCTGCTCAGGGCCGCGGAGGAGCATGACGGTATGCTTCATACCTTCTTTCATGCTCGACGTTAACATGATCGCAGACTGTAACTCGATTGTGGCCTTCATCTCTATGCCGGTGCGGGGTCTCGCGTTGGACCGAACACGGTCCTTACTAATCAAATCCAGATGTCTGCTGTGAGACGACTGGCTTCGGCACCCCTTGCGGCCTCCTCGTCGTGGAATAGCTAGCGGGCAGCTGAACACGCGCAGGCGCCCGATCGTGATACAATGTTCGTCACCTTATCTGACGAAGGAACGGAGCCTTGTGGAGGCTAGCGCCGTCAATCCTGCCTGCCCCTGCCGGAATCGAAATATGCGTCAAGCCCAGGCTCCTCCAGCCAACGTTCTCCCGGTCGACGTCTGCTCGGCCGTATCAGTCCTTCTCAAACGCGGAGTCTGTGTACTTTCTAGGATGTCTGCTCTTCCGTCGTTGTTGACCTGATTACAGTCCGCGCCGGGCATACTCGGCCTTGCGTCAGATTGCGACAAGTTAACATGGGTTGTACGCGGAGAGCAGGGCCGCGCCGATAGTGCCTATCTCCAGAGGCGTTGCGTCAGCGCCAACCTGTCGTCGTCGTCGATCGGTCAGTCATCTGCGGAGTATACTGCTACTTCTGGGTGCTGTCGAACTGCTCACGCAAGATACTGACAAACCGGGCAGATGTTGGATGGCCGTCGGACTCCCTGATCGTGTTCATGGCCGTATTGGCGTGTCGGCTGACGTTTCTTGGACTGGATCTGACTTTTTCTAGGCTTTCCTCGATTCTATGGCGCTCCATATGGGTGACGGATGTTCGTTGCGGGCACGTATAGCCAGCGTTGTTATTGCATGGGATAATCGCCCAATCAAGGTTCCTGCTCCGCTCCGTTCTCCACATCTAACTTCCAGTGTGGCTGTCAGATCCTGACAAATACTGGCAGATAACAACTGTCGTATGACGCGGGCTTCTCCCGCACGCTGGCTGATAACGCCTATTATTGTCCGCTAGGTTCGTGTTCTGTTCTTCGAGGTTAACGATGGCTGATAGAGCAGTGGATTGATCGACAGACGCACAAGGCTTCAGGGCCGGCACGCCAACGCGTGTTGACATCAACAGGGACAAGACGTATCCCTTCATCGCGCAATGCGGCCGGATGTACGTGTTCCTGCGAGCTATAATTATCTGCGCACCGTCCTCCGGCGCGCTACTCCAACGATCTGTCTATCACGCGCTTCTCAGCAAGTCACAGGACAGCGGACATGGATATCAGCGACGCCACCGTCTTCGAGATGCCCCGGCGCCGGCCCGGGCTGCGCCGACTCTTTGCTGGCAGTTCAGGCCCGGGCTCCCTGCTTTGCAGCTTCCCCTTCGTGCGATCGCGCTCATGCCCACGTCAAGCTCAGGCGGCGAAGGGCACAATGGAAGCCGCGATGCAAAAGCATGCGATCGGCTGCGGGTGTATTGGCGCCGGCGCCTGTGTCGTGGGTTAGGGTCTGGGAGCGTAGAGCGGCGGAGGGTGTCAGCGCCTCATACTCTTGATTGATTATAATGGATAGCTGCGGGTGGGGGTCATTGGTGGACACTGGAGCCTGAATCCCGCCCTCGCCCGGTTTGGGCATGGGCCCGCACCGGGCTCGCCGCAGAAGCGGGATCGCCCACCTCAGGCTACCCCTACCTGGTACCTCTTAGGCTTAATCGAACCCACGGAACCCTGGGCCTAAGAGGTACCAAATCCATGGTATCACCCATGGGGGTGGTACTATCCACAAATTGTGGATGGTACCATGGGTGTCACACAACCTATGACCATGGTTCCATCCATACAGCCTTGGGTGCATCCATGGCTGTGTGGATGGTACCATGGTGCTTTGCCTGATTTGGATGGTGGGGTGAATGCCTTGTAGCTCGCTCAAATCTGGCTCAAAAAATAAGCGCTTTGGTGCAGCCGGTAGGTCTCCCCCCGGGCTCTTTGATCCAATCACCTAGTGACGGGAAAGTCACTGGTTTGGCTGGAAGGTGCTTCTGGAATATTTTAGGAAAAATACCCTTGCAATGCTATTGCCTTGGCTTTTGGGTTGTCTGATTTGCACTAGAAAAATGAGATATTTTCGCTCTTCAAGACAGGCCAAGTCCCATGAGATTTGCTTGGCAGACTATGGAGTTTTGAATATTTTTTGATTTTTCTGGCTTTTGATTAGTTGGCAGTTCGGGCATCATAAATGGGTAGTAGGCAGGCTAGAGTACATGGAAAGTGATGTACAGTATGTCTAGAGTATGTACTACATGCTCCCACCCAGTTGGCCATGCCCCCACTCCTTGGCCTTTGCAGGGTATTGGGCGCTGGGGGAGCCGATCGGCCATCACTGATGGCATCAATCCGACCGGCATGTTTGATTTGGATGCATCCATGGTGCCAGGCAGATGGGGCCATGGATGCATCCATGGCTGGGCTTGATACCATGCATGGATGCATCCATAGGTAGTTTTGAAATTATCTGTGGTACCATCCATCTCACATGGATGGTACCACAGTCCTCACATGGATGGTACCACAGTCATGTTAATACCATAATGGATGCAACCACAGTCATATGTGGATGCAGCCACGGGCAACTTGGATCAAACTGTGGGTACATCCATATGGACATGGTTGCATCCACATATGGATGGTACCATAGCACATGGTTGCATCCACACTTCCTGTATGGATACATCCATACATTAGTGGTACTATCCAAGGCCCATATGGTCCTCTATGTCCCTGGTAATACTAAGTAACCTTGGTATGATCCGATATAATCAAGTTCTGTCAAAGGACATCAGTTAATATAGTAGTCATGGCATGACAAAACAAATATACTATGCAAACATACTATATATGCAAGAAAATTAGAGTTTTCATAAGGGATTATTTCAAGATGACAAAATGTCACCAGGTCCTGCTATTACATCAAAGCTGGCTATTCCAAGTACTTGGATAACTTTTTCAGTGACCTTGAGTAGTAGCTTTATTGTTATACCAGTACTAATGAGGTGTCATCTCACTAATTGGAGAACTCATAACCACAAGTACCTTAATAACAGTATTTCTATCTTTTGACAATGGAATGTCTGTA